TTATCAATTTAAATTAATGAAATAAATTATCAAATAATTTTTATTTTTTTAAAAAATTTATAAATTTAATCTATGTATTAAAAAATTTTAATTTAATAATTTGAATCATTAAAATTCAACATACACCATAAGTTATTAATTATGTTACAATAAATAAGTTACAAAAGAATAAAAAGAAGTAAAATAATCACATTAATACTAACTTTTGTCCTTAAAATGTCATCAATTTCTCCACATTTTTTTTTCTCTCCTACCAAACATGACAAACAATAACTTCCCTTCTCTTATTTTTCTTCTTCTTCAAAGTTCCTTTCTTTTTCTACTCTATTAAACGAAGCAAAAATGTGGAATAATAAAAAAAAAAGTTTTTCCTTTTATGGTAGGAAAAAGGCACGAAAGAAAATAAAGTGTAAATGCATCTAAAATTAAAATTTTAATCTTGTGATTTCTTCTTTATCTCATATCTATATTTATTAAGGCAAATATTTTTTTTATAGCTAGGAAAATCATTTTTTTTACCACTTTTTTTATCTGACTAAATGAGCGAAGAAATTTTTTTTTTCCTAATTTCTTTCGATTCAAACACACAGTAAACCTATCAATTTTCTATTCGTTTTCCTTTTCACGCTTTTTTTTTTTTTTCTCAACTACTTCTTTCTTTATCCAATCATATCGTTAGTGTTTTTATTCTAATAATACACGAGCATTAGATGTTTTTGATAGGAAAAAAAAAATAATAGAACGATATGGTATATGATGGTGTATTTGGACAAGTTTCATGGTGTGGTTGCAAAGGGGAAGAGGCTTTCGAATTGGCAATGGAGAAGTCGCTGTCTGAAACCAAACTACGATTGACCGCAGCAGCGATATATTTCTTCTGGTTTCAGTACCTTGATGATCCATCGATGTGGATGTGACTGGGCAATTGCAATTGCCATCCTAGTATTACGTGGGTACACGCTGGACGCATCCTTAATTATCATGCATTCGTAATCACATTACTATAGCATACCAATAATAATCAATGTTAGGGTCACAAATCGCCAGGCCTAAAAGAACAGAATATACGAGCATGATGCAGCCAAGGAATCTGTGAGAGACTAGGTCATGAGTGAAGGCCCCACATGAGGTTGGCGATTATTGGTCCACATCATCTACGTTGGAATGATTCAGTCACCTGGTTGGAAAACCAAGCATTGCATGTTATGTTATCCGAGGGAATCACGCCCATAATAGCCAAACATGACCAACCCATTCAAAGGTGTAATCCTAGTTAGCATACACGTGGTACCTTCTCATTGGTCCAAGGTTAGGGTTATTGGCCACAAATCAAATCCATTAGTTTTTTGAGAAATTCTACGTTCAGGATGTGCCGTCCATTTGAGAGTGTGGGGACTCTCCACCGCCCCTCAACTTTTCACCTAAACTTTGTCGCTTTACAGGCCATCCCTTCTATCTTTGTTGCCGTAAATATCATAAGAACACCTCAATTCTTGACTACATCAACTTTCTATTCATTTTTAAAGCTAACTAGATTACTTGCTTTCAAAATTAGTGTCTTCTTTATATAAATCAACGCTAGAATCGGAATGATTATTCATGTTTCAGCCATCATTCAAATCAATTCAAGAAATTTTGCCTGCTAGCTAGCTCTCGACCTAATGGTTGGATTACCCAAGTATATATATATATATAATTTCTACAAGTTATTTTTCATTTTTAATAAACGGTAATGCAATTGTAATTCAAACATGCATGGAGTCACTAAAAATAACAGCGTATAGTGAAAACGGGCGAAGTAGAGGGAGGGGAGAGTACAGAATAGTTAAATTAGTGACACGCAAATGGAGAAGGAAACATTTCGGCTTAAGTTCATAATTGGATTTAATATTATTTCCTGCTTTCACTGTGACCATTATTATGAAGATCCACGATAATGTTTTTTTTATTTATATAATTTCATGACGAACATGATAGTGTCTTAGCCCAAAGGAGCAAGAAGACGTGTAAGGGTTAAAATTAAATATAAATAAAGGACAAAAGCTAGTTTTGTATTGTGAAATGGCGGAATCACCTGACGCAATGCACATCCGTTGTAATTAAAACTAGAAAAATACGACTACATAGTGTATTTTGTTATGCAATTACACATAATTTCTCAAAATCATTTATGTCATGGAAACATAGATACTAATTTGCAATGTAGAGTAGTAGTATGTTTGAAGAAGACAGAGGAATGAGGATGAATGGTGTGACGTGGCAGATGAAAGGGCCCTGTCACGAGTGAAGGACGTGGAAAGCAGGCATGTGGGGCCATGTGAAAATTTAATCTTTTGGAAAAGGGGGGTTCCCAAGGCCCGATTCAGGGAACCAAAAGTTGTCCACGCAATTAACTTCTTTTTTCTCTTGTTGTTTTTTCTTTCCTATTTTTATTCATCTTGGGCCCACCATTTTCATTTGGATTTTGGAGGGTAATGATACCCATTCATGACGGGCCCCACATCCAGCACCGGCCTATTTCCTTTGTTGCCTTTCCATTCGCCATTTTTCCAAACTCCCAAACGTCCATTTCAAATTTAATTTCCTTCATGCTTAGCAAAAGCTAATCTCACAAACCTTAATTCTTGGTTAACAGCTTAACTTGACCATAACAGGGAAAAGCATTCCCCTTTTCCTTTAGAGTTGCTATGTGACCACTAATTTAATTACATTCAAATGGCGCTTGTATTAGAAAAATATTTACTTCAATCAGTACAACACCCATTAACCAAGGCCTGATTTTGTAGGTGTATAACAATGCTAACTTTCTACACAAGTGTACGGTTTCAATTAAACACTTTCATGACTGAGGTGAGCTACCCTCGTATGTGTTGTTCTTGTCTTTCGAAATTATTATATCTTTTGTTCATTTGTTTTCCATTATTTATGATTGCTCCAATTTGGGTACCTAGCTGGCTAGCTTTTCGATCCAGGGAAAGGTGGGTCGATTCTAAAGGCTAGAGGACTTATTTTAAGCTGTTACTATATTCTACAAAATAGAGAGCAATTTTATTCACACATATTTTGTAATTTTTTATAGTGAACAGAAAAATATAAAATAAAATAAATTGGAAAAAATTAAGTAATGTAAAATAATATAACTATGAAACATATAGAACCCCACTCGTACAAACGGGGACTCCCCGCTAAGTACGTAGTCACCCTGTCATCCTATAAATCTTTTATAAACTTAACATTAGTTTGATACATTGACAGAAATACTACTATTTGATGTTTAAAAAAAATATGAAAACGATTACGAGAATGCGTAATAATTAATCATAATTAAGAGACAATAATCTTTTTATTCTATGAGTTGTCTTACAAAAATTCATTCACTCCATTTAAAAATTTTATATTAAAATATTTTAAAAGAGTAAGTTGGTTTTAAAATAGTACTAAAAGATTCTTACTAAATATTATATTCATTATAAAAAATTAAAGTTAAAAAAAAAAAAAAAGATGTTTCACTTAATTCCTATTCCTATACTATACATGTACGTGTACCCAAATAATTGTATCGGTAAGTGGGGATCTATATGTACATATTTTATGTTATTTTGCAGGATAAACATTGAAAAGGAAAAACATTGACAACTGGGCATACTAGTGTCTTTTATTTTCTGTCAGTGACATGAGCCGTATGTTTGAAAAAGATTCTTCGAAGCGATCACACCGCATACACATGCACACACTACTACTCTTTCTCTTTGGAGCATTGCTTCTACTATTCATGACTTGGCACCTCTATATAAACCTCTCACTTTGATCACCTCACTCACAACTCAAAATTCACAAACACCCTTCCTTCCTCATTTACACACCTCTCAGCTTTATTTCAATCTCTCTCTCTTTTCCAAATGGCCAGTGTTGAGGTAATTCAATGACCCAGTTTCGTTGTTTATTGCCTCTGGTTTTGTACATTACTTTATCAGTCCACGTGTGTAGTAGTTAATATGCTTACTACATGCACACGAAGAAAATCAAAACTTTAGTAACAGAATATAACCTCTTCCTCACTTTCTTACTTTCTTTGTTGTGATTCATTATCGATCAAAGAATCAGTCTCATTTTACTTTCTTACCAAGTTATATATTGCATTTGCGATGGTAATAGCTAGCCTTTTGCAAAAATATAATCACGGTATGTTTGATTTTTCCCGATCTATCTTTCTCTTTGTTGCTGCGGTATTTTATAACCATCAGTATGTACGAACCATAAATTACTGCAACGATCAAGTATTTAATTATCTACACGAGATTTGAGGGGATCAACAAGTTTGATAGCTTGCTTGATCATTGATTAATTGAATATGAATCACGAACCATTTTCCAGTTGATCTTTATCTATGAAATATTCATTGTTGGTGGAATTGGATTGCGATCAACAGTTTTATATGGACTCCGTTTTCTCGTTTTTTGTTCTGCTTTATATAATCACATTTGCATCATCGGAAGCAAAGATCACTGAACAATTTATTACGTAAGTTTTTTTTTTTGTATGTTTTTCTTTTTCTCTAAGACCTAAGTAAACTACTAGTGATCTCTTTAAAGCTAAGCCAACGACTTGTTGAAACTAATTAACACCCTCATAACCACGTTGAACTTCTTCAAGGTTAAAATAACTTGAAAGAAAAGGAAAATAATTAATTCTCTCACCAAGTTGACGCTTAACTTTATAAGTCGTGTTAATTTCATCATAATTTAGACGATTTACATTTATGTTACAACACATTATGCTAGCGTTGATTATGTGTGTGGTACAAATTCACCTTTGTTAAGCTAGGCACTACAAGACTTGTGAAATAAAATTAGAAATCTTACAGGTTGCACAGCAAGCACCAACAACAGTGCAAGAAAATGAAACAACCGAGGTAACCAAGACCCAGGAAACAATCCCGGAACAAGTACCAACCACCGAGGTTCCTGCCCCAGAACAACCAGCAGCAGAGGTTCCAGCCCCAGAACAACCAGCAGCTGAAGTTCCTGCCCAAGAATCGAACACAGAAGAGCCAAAGGAAGAAACCACCGAAGCACCAAAAGAAACAGCAGAAACAACAACTGCAGAAGAAACACAAGATCCAGAAACCCAAGTTCCTGTTGAAGTTGTAACCGAGGAGGTGGTGACCAAGGAGGCAGAGGAAGAAAAGCCAAAGGAAGAGAAGCCAGCAGAGGAAAAAACTGAAGAAGTGAAAGAGGAGGCACCAGCAGAGGAGCCTAAAGAAACTACTGAAACAGAATCAGCAACCACAGAGGAAGAGAAGAAACCAGCTGAGTTAGTGGAAGCCACAGAAGAGGTTCCTGTTGAGAAGACTGAAGCTTAGACCTATGGACAGTGTGAGTAAGAAAACAGGTTTAAATGGTCCTAGTTGTGGGGATCGGGTCTACCATTTTGCATGCCAAGTTCAAAAGCTTTTTTCTATTTTATTTCTTTAGTTTACTTTATTATTACTATTACTATTATATATGATGGTTAAGTCCTCGGTTGTATGGAGGGTATACCTACGAGTAAGCACGACACTTGGCTCCACATCAGCGTGCTTGCCAAGTGGCGACATGAGAAGGATTTGTGTATTGAAGTGAGCAAGCTGCTGGTGCTGGAGTTGGGGGTGATGGTTATGGTTATTGGCAGGGTTACATGAGTTTGTGATGGTGTGTTACTGTGTTTCTTTAGGTTTGAATAAATAATATTTACTTTATAATTTATATTGTTGTTTTTACAAAAGAATATTTCGTTTTTAAACTTGCTTTCTTCCACATTACACTTTTACTATTGCAAAGTAAATTATATATCTTTAATCAATTCGGGCTTGTGTATAGCATCAACAAAAAATATGTAAGAATGTTCTGCTTTCAAGAACATAAATAAATGGATATATATAAATAAGGGAAAAATATATCAAATTATTTTTATTATGTTCGTGAAAATTTCTAATTATGTAACACATTCAAATGTTTAATTTAAAAACAATATATACACATTAAATAGATATTATTTATTCTTAAAAAAATATTCATGTATTATCATCTGTTTAGAAAACTATAGGTAAAGATGTAAAGAACTTGTGCAAGCTTTTACCTATTAAATATTCTATGGCAATGGATTAGGATTTTTAGCACTACATTTTTATCCCTTATAGTATTTTTTTTAATACAAAACAGAACACTTTTTTTAATAAGAAAATATTTCTTGAAAGAAAAATGTGACATTAAATGAAAATTTATAATTAAGGACTATTGCAACAGAATACGCAGTCCAACAAAAGGCTGGAATCTTAACTGTCAAAAAAAAGGCCAGAGTCTGTAAAAATATCAATTTCCATTCTAACATATTTTCGGAAGAATTTCTTGTAAAAATAATAAAATATTCACACTAGTAAAAGAAAAACTATAGTGAACAAAATTTATGAGAGTACGCACCATCAACAAAGCAACCGCAATGTATATATGTGTGTTGGGGGGGGGGGGGGGAC